TCTCACCTTCAATCTTTCCCAGCATCAGGGTCTTTTCCAATGAGTTAGTTCTTCACATCAGATGGCCAAAGTATTAGAGTTTCAGCTTCAGCATCAGTCCTTCCNATTGTTGGTATGTTGAGTGCAGCACTTTTATAGCATCATCTTTTAGCATTTGAAATAGCTCACTGGAATTCCATCACCTTCACTAGCTTTGTTCGTAGCGATGCTTCCTAAGGCCCACTTGACTTCGCATTCCAGAATGTCTGGCTCTAGGTGAGTGATCACACCATCATGAATATCTGCGTTGTGAGTATCTTTTTTGTACAGTTCTGTGTATTCTTGTCACCTCTTCTTAATATCTTCTGCTTCTGTTAGGTCCATACCATTTCTGTTCTTTATTGTCCCATCTTTGCATGAAAAGTTCCCTTGGTATCTCTAGTTTTCTTGAAGAGATCTCTAGTCTTTCCAATTCTATTGTTTTCCTCTATTTCTTTGCTTTGATCACTGGGGAAGGCTTTGTATCTCTCCTTGCTATTTGGAACTCTGCATTCAAATGGTATATCTATCCTTTTCTCTTTTGTCTTTCGCTTCTCTTCTTTTCAGAGTTGTTTGTAAGGCCTCCTCAGACCATTTTGCCTTTTTGCATTTCTTTTTCTTGCGGATGGTCTTGATCACTGCCTCCTGTACAATGTCACGAACCTGCATCCATAGCTCTTCAGGCGCTCTGTCTATCAGATCTAGTCCTGTAAATCTCTCTCTCACTTCCACTGTATAATTGTACTGAAACTTCTGTAAAGTGCAAGGAAACGCACTAGGATATTGTGGCAACATCACATTACCTTAAGGACTTTTAAATGCTTACTCTCCATTTTCTGAACTTGGCTTGTTGCTGACTGGCAATTCTGCGTTACCCAGGTTCCCTGCTAGCTCTCTGAGCACAGCAGTAGCTGGCACATTAACTTGGATACAGAGTCTGCTCACTGCTGCCTGTCAATCAGGCTTCCCTGGTGACCCTGATGGTAAAGAATCTGCCTGCAATGCATGAGACACAGATGTGGGTTAGATAACTGGGTCGGGAAGATCTCCCGGAGAAGGGAATGGTACTCCAGTATTCTTGCCTGGAGAATTCCATAGACAGAGGAGCCTGGCAGGCTCCATGGGGTTGAAAAGAGTTGCCTGTCAATCACTACTGACTCAATGTTGACTGCCAGTCACTCTTCTTGCCTCCACCGCAACGTGGAAATGAAGCATTAATAATGTCATGAACATTAAAATGATATAAGGGTAATTAAGTTGTGCTATGAAAAATGCTTCACTGTCTTCTTCCATCACATTTTAACATTATAATTAATTTCAATTTCATTGACTATTAAATAAACAGCATGAAATTTTCAAAAAAGAGAAAAAAATTAGGTATGGGTCTACTGTTTTTTAGAAATGATATCTCTTAATAATCTTTGTTGAAAAAGAGGGCTGTTTCCCAGACATTTTAAAAAACTTGATGGAAAACATAAAATAAAAACAAATTAAGAATTTCATTTTTATACTTAGCACAAAACAAAATGAGAAAACTATCCCATTATAAATGACCATTAAACTCTCCTGCCATATGAAGCTATTTCTTATATATAAGAGAAAAAGGAAGCTTATTGTTGCCTTATAATGTTGTAAATATTCAGGGTGTTTTGAATAACTAAGGAATCAAGGCAGCATTCAGTATGTGCCACCCTTAGAATAAAGCTGCAGATAACATGCAGTTTCCTGCTCAAGAAAAAAATTTTGAGAGTATCTAGCTCATTATTGTTAGCATATATATGGTTACAAAACAAATAGCATGGAAATACTTATGACATATATAATTCAATCATAAATAAATTCCATCTAACAAAATACAGACTCAGATTTTTTAAAAAATCAAAATCAAAGATCTCTTACCTATTAAAATTCTAGGCTTATTTTTTTCTTATGTGGAAAACATATACTTATTCCAAATGAAACATAGTTAAATTCAAAAAATTTTTCAGCTGCTTACTTAATTTTAACATTGGTTTTGCAATTTTGGAATGTCATTCTCCCCTCCTCAGGGGCTTTCCTCTGTTTCTGGGTGAGGATATTGATACTGAAATGAGTGGAAACTCCTGGTTAGCATGGGACTCATGTGCCACAGCTCCTGGAGCTCAAGCAGGCTCTCGCACATTCTAAACATTGGAGACCATAACTCAGTGCCATCCCATCATCTCCAGCAGTCAAAGGATGCAAAGCAGCTATTAATTAATATTAATGAAATTCTTATGTTCAATCCCATCTCATGCATTCATTTGCTGGTTTGCCTCTTCATTCAGAAAAAGATTTACTGAGCCCAAACTTCTGTGGAAAGGACTGTATCAGGTACTGAGGACAGAAAGCTGCATAATGCAGGACCTAATGGTGCTTACAGTCTGGCCAATGAGTAAAGCAAAAATACTTGCAACACTGTGATAAACCCAGAAATGAAAGAAAGTAAAAAATATTATGGGAAGGGCTGACTGACTTTGTCCAGGAAGTAAATGTGGGTTAAGCAGGGATGGCTGTAAAAACAGTGACGTCTAAGTGGGGATTTAAAGGATGAGTTGGGTTTTAATGAGCATAGTAGGGGGAAGTCAAGATGCTTCAGGCAGAGGAAATACCGTGAGCAGTGTACTTATGTACCACAATAAGAGAAATGTGTGAGGCGGTAAGTGGTTAGAAACGAGTCCTGAATACAGGCTGGGTCAGGCTCTAAAGGGCTTTGAAAGTTCAGGTAATACAGGCTTAGAACTTTATATAAGAAACAAGAGATAAAGAGAATTTATCATGATTTAATGGTAAACCATATATCTGACACTGAAGAAAACAACCTCAGTAAATTGTTGGGGATTTTCATCATGATTATTTCAATATGATGAAGTTTATGACTAAAAAAAGGACTTAGAAATTTAAGAAATAAGGGAGAAAGAAGTAACTTAGAAATCTGATCTAAAACACTAACACTTGTTATGGAAAATTCTGCCTTCTCACTAGTTGGTCTAGTTGTACAACTCATTCTCAAAGGCCTTCAATTACTCCACACTGTCTACCAAATAAAATACATGCATCTTATTTGGCATTTTCAGAACTTCACAGTAATAGCCTCACTTATGTCTCCAGGCACATTTCTTCTGGTCATTTCAAGAATATAGGTTTCCTAAAGTCAGAGTCTATAGCATCCAGCCAAGGATGCTCATTGATGACTTCTAAACTGACATTTTCCCTATAGGGCTGAGTTCATGCCTGTTTCAAGTGGAAGACTGCGTGTGTGTGTGTGTGTGTGTGTGTGTATGTACGCGCGCACGCATGCACATTCTTTTGCTATATAGTTTAAGAAATTAACCCAAGTGTAGGTTGTTCTGCTAATTTTCAATTCTGTTAAATTATGTTAAATGAATCAGACTTAGTATGCAGTGAGCCAACTGATAGCACTGACCCTAAAAATAAATAATCTACTCAGTTTTACAGACTTAACATCTATAATGTATTACCAAGTGTAAGACAGAACTCTGATTCATTCGTAAAGAACAAATAATCATCATTCAAATCTTTTCAAAGCCAACTGTCCATGTGTTGGCAGAGAAACCACTCATGCTAGAGGCCTTGAGATCTAGGCAGAGGTCTCTGTTAAAGTATCTAAGGAGACAGTGCAGAACCAGAGTAACACAGATGCATGGAGACCTGGATTTAAACCCTGGCTCCATGGATCAGCCCTGATACATCATATAAGTCACTGAACCTCTCTGAACCTCAATGTCTTTATCTACAAATCAGAATACTTAAGCCTATCACACAGGGCTATTAGAAGGATGATATCCTCATTCTCCTATACCTCTTCCTCCCCCTAATGATAATAAGTAGAAGGAATGAGGAATATTTTATTACATGTTTACTAGAAGGAACAGAAGAACAGAGGTCAGTAGCTTACCCAAGGCCCTACCACTATGTGACAGTAAGGTGTAGATGGCCAGTGCCTTACACACGGTACGTGTTTGATAACTGGCAGCTGTCAATTTTAATACTGCCACCACAGATTATTCTTTGACTGCTACTTTTCGACCACTGTCTATGATGACAACATTGTATTTTGAAGGCCGGATCTTCTCTCTCATCTCTTCGCTGTTGGATGGCCACAGCATGGTGCTTGGCGTCTCAACAAGTAAACTCAAGCCTTTTTATTGGTAGCCTGTGACCTCTAGTTTACATCTTAAACTCTCCGTACCCTCCATCCATCATCAACCCAGTTCATGCGTGCATCATTTGGGTATACAAATTCCCTGGTGCTTAGGGACGCACACACCCTCCCAATGGGGATGGGAGATGGTCACTGCCCAGACAGTCATCCTCTAGTGAACCAAGCAACTACAGTCTTTGGGTGCTGGTTTGATTGTACTACATGAATCTTTAGTGATCTTAAAGTCTAAAGCTTATTCAAAAACAGATGACCTACACATGACTGAGAGCACTGTTTTATCTTTCTAAATCAAAGAGAACATGCAAATATATCTGGCTTTAGTTAAAATATGCTTAAAACACAAAATTAAAGGTATTGATTTCTTTTTTGTAATACCTATCTTCACTAGAATAAACACATGCTAAGTAAATAAGATACTGACTACATTCATGATTCCTAACAATGAAAGAACTGTTAATTACTACACTTTGTCTCTCAAAGAAGATTTTTAAAAATCTTTCTCGTGCCTATTTGTCTGTAACACTCAGCAATGTTTTGAGGAACTCTTTCTTCATTTCAAAAATGACTCTGACAACATAAAGCAACTCAAATGACTTCTGATACTGAAGTTTGTGGCATGAGCACCTGGCTGATTAATCCCTCGATAGCAGTACCGTAAACAACTCTGTCAGTCACTTTCCCAAAGGTTTTATAATTGTTGCCATCTCCATACCTGTTTGGGCTGTTCTGTCATTAGAAAGAAGCAGTGCATTGTGCTTCTCAAAACCAAGAGGCTTACCAATACACCGAGAGCCATCTGTTGAGGTTACATATCCACGTGGACAAACGCAAAAATAGCTTCCCACGGTGTTGGAACATTCGCCAGTTTCACATATCCCAGGAATGATGCTGCACTCGTCAATGTCTAATCGGGAAGAAGGAGAAGATGACTGAGAAGAGCCTTCACTAAATAGCTTTTAAAAAGGATCCTTAAAAAAAAGTGTATGAGAGCACTTATGGTTGATTAGGTCGGATCGTATAACCTTGAAGATACTCTTGTTTCAGGCCCTGAAGAATTTCTCACACTATCTATGGGAACTGAGATGAAAGTAAACTCCCATGGCAGTAAAACAAGGCCAACGAAAGCAAAACTCCATATCCTCTTTTTCCTCCTCAAATGCAATTTAAATTGGAAATAAGTAAAGATGTAAATGTTTTAGTTTCCATTCTACATCATTTAGGGACTTATCCTACTAGAGACTTTAAAAAAAAAACACACATGCAAGGGTTACATTTTTAAATACGAAATAAGTACATTTAAAATTTTATAGCTAATTTTCACATTAATTATCTGAACCAATGGAGGGTGGCAAACATCTTTTTTTTTTTTTTCCTATTTGGCTTCAGGATATGTTTTTGTACTTACATCTGAATATGGGTATATCTGGCATTCTGGGAATTAACTTCAAACCTAAAATAATACAGTAAAATGGCAAAGGGCAAACGTGGGTGGCTTTGGGAGTTATCCAGTTTTCCTATTGTGCCTCCCTAAATTTATCCATTCAGCTTACTCAGAGCTGGGACTAGTCTACTCCCTTTCACATTAATGAAAGGTCTGCTTTCTTTTAAATTTTCCCCAAACCAGAAAACCTGGCCATTTATATAAGCTTTAATGTACTTTTCTTTTCAATAAGCACAGAGAGGTGGAAAGTCAAACAAAGCTACAATTAGGTACACTGGGAGCGACTTGTTAATATACTGAAAAGGAAATGAGCCAGTGTTAAGAGAATCCAGTCAAAGATGCCTGGGAATTAGCTGTCCTCTCTAAGCAACACAGCTAGCAAAGACCAAGTGAATACAGGGAACAATTATAAAAGCTATAAGCCTAGATGATTACCGAAAAGTAAACCTGAGCTTTCAGTTTTTTAAAAGATGTGTGTATATATATATGTNACAGAGGATGAGATGGTTGGATGGCATTACCAACTGAATGGACATGAGTTTGAGTAAACTCTGGGACTTGGTGATGGACAGGGAGGCCTGGTGTGCTTTAGTCCATGGGGTTGCAAAGAGTCAGACACGACTGAGCAACTGAACTGAACTGAACTGAATTGCTCTATTCATTCTTTTTTTCACCACCATTTATTCTGACAAGTCATTTGTGCCTATAAGCGGTATCATGAAATAACTATATGCCTACGTCTTCTTGGAATGTTCTAATTCAAAAATATTACCAGAATCAGATAGTCTCTAAAATAGTATCTTCATTAGAGGCATAACAGTTAGCCACTGAAGGCACAGTGGTACAAATCATAATCTATCAATTCCCCTAGAGAGTCCAGAATTCTAACATGAATTGGTTATAAGAGGACCAAACATACAATGTGGTGAAAGAGTTACCATCAGATTTAATCCAACAAAGTAAAACCACATGTGCAAAATTAGGGTCTGTTGCATCTTGTGTTGCTATCTTAGTGCGGGGCATCTTAATAAAACTGAACGTAGATTCAGAAGAGAAAGGAAACTAGAAAGCTATACTGTGATAACCAGATAAATTGGTAATCACTTCTAGATAAGGAAGACAGAAAAAGCAAACCACACACAGTAAAGCAGGAAGCACTACAGAAGTGAAGTGCTTTCTTTCTGATCTCCTACGTCTAAAGGTACGCCAACAACCAAGGCACTTATGGAGCCTAGGACTAAGCCAAATTCTTAAAAATCAGGAACTTTAAAGTCTTTCATTTAAGCATTTACTCTTATTTTCAGGCATTTCCTTTCATAATAAAGTACTTCTTTGTGCGGTACTTCCAAATAGCCTTTCTGACAACAGAAAGAGTAGAAATTGAAAGATGTTTGACCTTTCTTTCAAGCAGAGAGAAAAAACCCTGGAACACAGAAGAACAGATGGAATAAGATTAAATCTGTGAGATTTGTGTTAAACATTTTATTTTACAAAAACATGTTTCTTCCTTAGAATTAAGTAAGAACCTTAAAAGGTCAGCTTCAAAATAACTATATATAAAAAGGCTCTCAGTAAAGTAGTCAAGATTTCTATATGAAAAATAGATCTGCTCACCCACTCCCTCCTCTGGCTTTGACCACATCCTTAAGGCTGTCTTCCCTGATGGGAGCAAAATGGTTATAGCAGTTCTAGGCTAGATCTTTAACTAGGACATCTAGAGTAAGAGAAGTTATCTCTTCCAGTGGCCCACTCCTAAGACGAAGCGAATTTTTCCCCAGGAGCCCTCAGCAAATCTTTCCTTTTCTCCTAATGTCCTGAATTGAGTCACACACTAACACTTTTGAATTATTCCTATAGCCAGGAAAATGGGCTTATAGGCCCAGAGTCCTGAACTAACTACTATAGCAAGTGGAATATAGTTTTGGGTGTGTGTGACTGCTGAGTTGCTCAGTCATGTCTGACTCTTTGCAATCCCATGGACTGTAGCCCGCCAGGCTCCTCTGTCCATGGAATTCTCCAGGCAAGAACACTGGAGTGGGTTGCCATTTCCTACTCCAGGGGATCTTCCCAACCCAGGGACTGAACCTGAGTCTCCTGCACTGCAGGTGGATTCTTTACCACTGTGCCACCTGGGAAGCCCGGAATACAGTTAGCCTTAGACTAATAAAAGTAACAAAAAATCTGAAAATGCAGCACAGTCAAAGAATGGGAAGTGTACCAGCGTGATTCGGAAAATGACAAATATAAACTTTGCTAGTTAGCCATATGCTGAGCCCTGGAGAGCCTTCCCAAAAACTTAAGACTTTTTTTCTGAAATAATTTATGGTACTTATGAAGAGGTTTAAATTAAATAAGAACATCACATAAGCAAATTGATATATCAGAAAGACAATCCTCATGTTTAATGTACATAGATAATAAATAACCCAGTGATAAATGATGAGAGCCTTAAGCAAGCTTTATGATGAGTGAGAGAACACATATTCAAGAGATTCTAGGAGAATTCAGCAGGACTTTGCCCCTGGATAAGTTTCTCAGACTTATGGCTTGATTGAGAACAGAGCTAATGGTAGTGCTATTAACAGAAAACAGGACACATTTTGAGGTTCCGTTGAGTTTGGGACACTCTGAATATGAAATATTTGAGAGAAACAAGCAGAAATTCCAACTATGCAGCTAAAAATTTGAAACTCGGTAAAAAGGGGGTCAATATGTATACTTGTGGTTTATCACCAAGTCTGAACATTGCTTTTGAAGTTGCAGCAATAAATGAGATTTCCAAAGAAGACACATATATGAAAAGAATTGAGTTTGAGGAGGGAACTCTGAGAAACACCACCATCCAAGCGAAAGTCAAAAGAAGAGAAGCCAGCATAGGAGACTGGGAGCAAGGATCAGGGAGGTCAGAGTGAGAGTATGATGATGGCAGCAGGGTAAGGAAGAACTCTGTCAAAAAGGAGGGGACTTGAAGTGTGCCCTGGGAGGATAACGAAAAAGGATTGGAAAGTGTTTGGTAATTTAAATGGAACACAGACGTCTTCTTCTTTTTTTTTTTTAAGAAAATTAGAGCTAAGCAAAACCATCTGACAGATTTCTGACTGCCAAGCCACATAACCTCGTATTTGTCAACCAACATTTACAACATTTACTGTAAATCTTACTCTGAGCAGAATATAATGAATAATTTGGTAAGTAGTGCTAAGTGTGATCTCAGATATCACTGAATTCTAAGAACACTGCCCTAGAGATTCTGTCAGTTCCAATATGTACATGTCGTACATAAAAGCAGAATCCATGTAACAATTATGTTACAGAGAACTTAGAACAAATAAAACAATAAATTGTTTTTAAAAAGTGCTTAAACAATATTTTCTTTCCATCCATGCCAAGGAACCACATGTATTTGGCTTAATTCCATATAATTTTTGTTTCAGTATAGAAAAAAGGTAAATATTATTTCTCTTATGCATACATTGAATTTTTATTTAACATACTATTTGAAACTAGGAAAGTGAAGTGAAAAGAGTCTCATCATGTACAGCTCTTTGTGACCCCATGGACTATACAGTCCATGGAATTCTCCAGGTCAGAATACTGAACTGGGTAGCCTTTCCCTTCTCTAGGGGATCTTCCCAATTCAGGGATCAAACCCATGTCTCCCACATTGCAGGCAGATTCTTTACCATCTGATCCATCACGGAAGCCCAAGAATACTGGAGTGGGTAGCCTATCCCTTCTCCAGCAGATCTTCCTGACCCAAGAATCAAACGGAGGTTTGATTGCAGGCAGATTCTTTACCAAATTTTACATAGAATAAATTGCTATTTCAAGTTTTTACAGGGACAAAGGGCGTTTTCAAAATGATAAAATAAAAATTAATTGGGTACTGAAAGGATGATACATATCAATTCTCAAAATTTCATTGTATATTTATAAACAGCTTTAGTGAAATTTAATAATTGGATGGTAACTTATCCAGTTAACGTACAAAATTCAACAGTTTTTGGTATTTACATGATTGTACAACCATCACTACAATTTAATTTTAGAGTAATTCATTCTTGCCAAAGTAATTCTACCCCTTTAGTAGTCACTCACCCTATCTCACTCCAAGACCTAGGCAATAGCTAATCTATAACTATCAGATCTATAACAATTAATTAATAAGCTATTTCTATATACTTGCCTATTCTGGGCATTTCATATAAAAGAACCATGAAATAAAGGGTCTTTCATGACTGGCTTCTTTCACTGAGCATCATGTTTTCAAATTTCAACTATGTTGTGGGATACACCAGAACTTCATTCTTTTTAATTGCAAATAATATTCTACTGTATGGATATACCACATTTTATGTATTCATCCATCAGTTGATGGATATTGTAATTAATTTCATTTTTTGGCTATTACAAGCAAAGCTACTATGAACATTTCAGTATTACTTCTCTGTGGACATATGATT